CGTAGGTACTCCGTGTCTAAATGAATGACTGTTGGAAGTCCGGCGATGGCGTTAGTACGTCCATGGTGCTGCAATCCAAGGTCGATTTCCCGAACCCCTGCGTTGCTCGCTTCGATGGAGGTCATGGACATACGTAAGTCTTGGGTGAAGTCTCGTTTAAAGTGCTCCCATAGAATTCGAGCAGGTGCACCGTCAAGAACAAGGGCAACGAATAGTTGGCGCAGCTGCTTACCTGTATTGAATATTACAGCCTCTTCCAAACAAACCTTGTACTCTTTGTCATGTTTGACGATGCCCATGGCTCTAGCAGCGTCTTGGAATGTTTCATGAACGATTTCGTTGTGAGTCCTGAGTAATTCAAACGATCTTGCCGGTTTGTGGTGCAGAAGTTGGCGCAGATAGAAGACGTCCCCTTTATCTGGTGTAATAGCCGTAACACGCGCTACGTGCTTGTCTGAAGTGCGAGGTGTAACATAATAGCCGAATCTGTCGCGAAAATGCGTTCCTGTTTTCCGTGACTTTCGATTTTTGTTGACAATGTACTTCTCGTTGTAGTCCAGGTACGTGAGGGAATCGAAGTCGGACTCGGTAGGTCTTCCAAAGTACAGCATGAGGTCGGATTTGGTCTGTTCGGCTTCCGACTTCTGTTCGGCACGTGTAAGAGTTTGATCGACAATGACGTGTTGTTCATCGGGAAGGTGCAAGCGAAGGGACGTGACGGAAGGGTGGCGCTCCATGATGTGGAAACCAAGTAATCGCCACGCAGCCTCTGCCGCTGACACGTATCTTGCCGATCGGTAAGCTTCAATTTCGTCACCACCACAAACAATCTTGGCCTTGATGATAAAGTCGGCGCCTTTCGTGATGTACTTGTAAATATACTTGACTATGGCGTTGGCGGTGCAGACGTCAAAACACATGTGACAGTTGTATTTGGAAAGGAGCCAAATGTTGTACGGTGCTATCCATTGATTGGTGGCGAATGATTCGATAAATTTGCCGTTCACTCTGTGTGTGTAGGGAAATCTCTCTCCGGTATCTCTACGACGGTACTCGGCTCTACCGGTCTTGCCCACAGCGGCTACGTCACGCCATGGTTGGGGATAGTGTTTGCCGCACACCTTAACTCCAGGCCGTTTTCGATCTTCCTTCATGCACGGTGATGTGGGGTTGTGACTGCCACACTGTTTGTGTACCATGAGGTTCAGCACTTGATCTCTTGATCTACCATTGTTGAGCTCTGGCGGCGGCACTTCCGCCCAACACCATTCGTCCATTTCTCCCATCTGATCGGGCAAAGGTCCCTCAAAGCGCACTACTAAATGCATATGGGGCATGCCCCTCTTCTGGAACTCTACGCAGCTCATCTCAAAGTCAATCGGTCCAAAAATCTTGCCACTCCTGAGGTCTTTCATGAGTTCAGCCATTTTAATTTTGAAGACACGGTCGCATAAGTCTGGCCTGTCGTACGCTGTTTGACCGGGTAACCGATTAGCTTGAATTGCTTCCCAGTTACCATTGCATGTCATTTTAATGTGAAGACAACAACAACAACAACAACAACAACAACAACATGGTGAGCATGGCACTAGGGCGTCCATTACGTGATACAATAGCTAAGGCGTCGGTTGTGTTTGCTTTCATTTTGGCTGGATGCCCGTGAAAGGTTTTCGGGAGCGTTTTACCTATCTGAGCTTCCTGGGGCGCGTCCTCTAAAGTTTTGTACGTGGTGGCACGTTTCTGGCATTCAGCTGAGGAATGCATGTATGTGTGTGTTGTGAGCAGACAGAGTGCTGGTGCTGGTCTGCAGAGGGAATGAGGCAGACGGAGAGCAAAGAGTCTGCAGAGGGAATGAGGCAGACGGAGAGCGAAGAGAAACCCGAGAGCAGACAGAGTGCTCCACACGTGATCGAGAAAAGGCGGAGCGGCGGCGGAGCGGAAACATGCCCAGAAGCGGAAAGACAGAATGAACTCTAAATCCAAGTGAAAAATGGTGGGAGAAATGCTGGTCTGTCAGGGCTCGAGAAAACCGATCTTTGAACGGAGAGCGGCCCGCCGGAAATGCGAAATACTCGAAAGTTACGCCGAACACAAATGATAGAACTGTTATTGTAATTGCAGAGTTGTTCTGGTGTTTCAACGGGGTCGGAGAGGCAACGCCGTATCTTATTATGAGGGGAGGAGCGAGGAGCGTGGTCTGCAACATTGTTGCCAAGTCAAGTCTGTGCGTCTGTGCGCTGCTGTTGTACTGCTGTACACCACCCCGATGATCAAGACAAGAAAATCAGTATTATTGCCGTGTGCATAACCCACCCACCCATCCCAATGCTGGTTGCACTGCAGCCGTTTGTGCCGAAAATAATTGAACACCAGAGCAGTAGACTACATGTACATTGCCGTAGACTGTTGGATCCTGCCGCACATTGTTGGCATACAGCAGTCTACTACTGTAGACTATGCAGGCTGGGCTACGGCCTCTTTTAGCGCCTGTCCCGAGCGGATCCCTGCTGCTACATGTACGTATACCATACACACGCCTGGGACACAAACTCGCCACATGCATGGACATGGGAAGGACATAGAATACTGTAGAACCGACCAGTGTAACACGGCCGAGAAGCTTCGGCGCTCCCATGGCGGCGCCTGCCTTCCTGCTCGCTTGCTGCTGCTGCTGTTGCTGTGCTGCTGCAACAGCAATTCCTTGTGGGATGTGAAACACCCAACCTGTGTATGCGTTCCTCGGCAGCACGACTGGATGGACTAGCAAGATTGGAAGCTAGACCAAGTATTACCAAATGCTAGACGGGGTCATAGCAGGAGTGAGGTGTACCCACTTCCTGTCTGTCTCCGTTCGCAGTACAGTTGGCTTGCTTGAGCAACATCAAGCATACTTTATTTGCATGTTTGGTCGCCTACGCAAGAGCGGTATCCCCAAACCAGAACGCCGCCTCAACCTTTTTATTGCCACTTTTTGTTGTTTTTTTCCCTGCGAAACACACTCAACAGACTGAGAACAGTTGTCGTGCTCTGTACAAGTACGCTGCTGTACACTCGACACTATCTACATCTACAGAAAAGAGACTGGGATTGGTAGCGACGCATGCATAGTGTGCTACATATGCATACAGAGTACATTTATTATTTTCGTTTATTATTTTCTCACAAAATACAACGGATGGATTTTCGAAAAGTACAACGGATCCAGGACTTATCCTTGCACGTACATGCGGCGGAACATGTATGAAACGGCAACCCCCCCCGTGACGGACGAGGAGAGAGAAAGAAAAGAGCCCCCCGGCAGCCCATAACATTCTCCCAGCCTTCATCCCAGCTTATCCGTGGGTGGCCAGGTACGCCCCGTCTGACACAATTCACACTCCATCACGGTCCCCGCGGTTTGCGTCGGCAACGTGTGCCGCAGGCTACAAAGACTGTACTGTAGACCTACAGCTACAGTTTACACAAGAAAAGGGACAATAACAGCGGAGAGCATAGCTTGGGTGCTAGTCTAGATGTAGGCTACATCCTACTATAGATGGGGGTGATTGATGAATGTGGTACTCGCTGAGAACGGAGGATACCCCAACAAGCACATGTAGACTACTCTGTGCCTGGTAGTTGTTATACTGTGTATCAATACGTGGTCGCACGTTTTGTCTGCAACTCTGTGCGCTTCATTTTGAGGGTGTGTAACAGTGTGGCTTGTATAATACGTCGACGGCGGCATTTCTGGCGGTAGACGTGTCGCATTCGTCTCGAAGACAACTACCCACAGATAATATGGCGCTTGTGCTCCCAAAGGCGATACTTGTTTCATGCTTGTTTCTCCCAACCAAATGTACGGACGTCGTACATAGTCGTCTACGATGCGCGGGCGACTAATCGTACTGCAGTATATATGCGGGAGAACGAAGCCGACCCGAGGATTGCATTCCCGAGCCTAGCTATACGTGCTCTTCAAGGTTATTCACCTAGGTAGACCACTGGGGCAACCATGAACGCCAGAGAATCGCCTTACAATGGCTTAGCCATTAACGGCTAGGCCTGGCTCCTCACCAAATACTGACGGCGGTACATAGACTACATACATACGAAAAAAGAGGAAAGGCGTTTCGCGAAAAGCACAAAACAACTTGAACGTAGAATAAGGGATTCGCACAGCGTGAGCTTGGTATATCTTTTCAATAAACTTTTGTGGACGGGGAACGCGTCTTTGTAATTACCTTTTGGACCGTACATCGAAAATTCAAAATGTCCGATCAATCACACCCTGCATTGTTTTGGCCTACAATAGGAATCGCCTGGTAATACACCAGCTTGTTCCCGTCCAATGCACTTGTTCATCGGGGATACACACGTGGAGAACGGCAGTGATGCGCTAACGCACTTGCCACATCCGGAGCGGGTGTAAAGTCGGGCGCTCTAGCTACAGTTCACGAGAAAATCTCAACAGTCGTTTCTGATTGCCTTCTATTGTTGTCACGGGTGCAACGCTCCCCACACACCAGTACGTCCTGGCAATTTCGAGCAGTGGTGGTGTTTGAGACAAATTGTAGCTATCCGAACTGGAGCGCAGTTTTCTGGGCTTACTCACCAAAATTCGGCTTGGCGATGAATTTCTCGCACGTCGATCTCGCACTACTGTACAACACCTCAATTGATATGGCGCGCAGTTCTTCTCGAAGGGGTTGCTCAAGCTCGTGCGACTTCTTGAAAAGTTGCAGAGGCTTGCCTCCTATGGAGACATTTGCTCCTCCCACAGAGGTGTGTATTTCCTTGTTCCACTTCGATAATGACAACATGCGCATATTTCTGAGCGCTTCTCGTGTTGCTCTTCCGCTATGCGTTTGCCGTATTTTCATCTTGCGGGAATTGTTGTAGTCATTGCCGCATTGGCCCGCTGACGGTCGGCATCGGATCAACGCTCACGAGCAGGAACAACACATAGAGGTCTTCTTCTCGTGTCCTGGGACGTCGCGTACACTATACGGCGCGGCGCTATGAATCCGCTGCCGAACCGGGACACCCCTTCTTCGCCTTCACCGACCAACAGCAACGACGTTGCGCCTGCATCCGATGAAGAAGATGGCGACCTTTTCGGCAGTGCGGAAGACCTTTCGCTCCCGAGCGTCGGAGGAGAGGTGAGCACCACGGGGTGGTGTTTGCCTTCTGCCGTAAGTCTTAGCTGGAAAGGTTGCGGCCGTTGTCTCGTCGCAGACCCTCAGCCGGTATGTCGCCGGCCGGCTCGACTGGCTGGTGGCGAAGTGGTTGGCATGTACGTTTCCAGCAAAGAATCGCCACGTAACGCCGAGAAAGTTGAGATGAAGCTAGTAGCATTTGAACCTATTGTTGATGCAAAAAACGCCTAGATATGTAAATCTTCGACGCGACGCGTCACAACGGAATTTCTCCTACAAGAGTTTTAGGCTGGGTATCTTTGGGGTACAGTATCAGAAATGAGGCGCCGAGGCTGAACTGAAGCCTTTGTTGGAGACGGTTTATGTCCCCAGACACTCTGGCCTGATGAATTGCACATTTGTTTGAACGGTCTCCTGTTACGTTTGCTTGCTCAGCAAGTCCAAGACGGAGGCCATTCAAGGTTTGGTCCAAAACCATTGTCTCCCTTGCTGGTTTCCCTCGAAATTTCAGGATTTCCCCCCCTGGGCGCTCGGCCTGGACCTCACTGCGGACATCGAGGCTTTGAAAGCAAGGGAAAGAGAAACGAATGAGGCGTGCAAACCTGCGGCTTCGAAAACATCCGGTACTGGCGCCAGGAGCACCGGACATGCCAGGTATGAAGCGTGAACATGTCGAGGGTTCACAAAACGGGCTACAAATGGGCTGTTTCACTCATTTGGAGCAAAACCACGCACGTTTCATCTGCTTTCTACACGTTTGCTTGTCCCTGGCCTCCCTCAGATTTCGGAGAATGTATACACTACAACAGACGGCCGTATGACAGTTGTTGCGCCACGGCGTTGGGCGATCTTTAGTAAATGAAAGTACAATGAAGAGTTGCGCGGAGCTAAGACACTCCCTTGTACGTTTTGCTATTTCTTGAACCTTTCTGTCGTCTTTCTCTGGATTCGATTCCTCATACGTCGCCTCCAGTTCCCAAGACTCCAAGCCAGTCTCCATGCAGCAGAGAAATTCTGGAAGGTTCAGCAGCGTCGAGGACATTGAGCTGGGTCGAGCGGTTGCACACTACACCGGAGAGTTGAAGGTGAGTTAACACTTCGCATCGAGTATTCATCAGTACCGCGGTACAAAACCGAGCACGGATGATACACAAGTCATTGCAGTCACACGTGTCGGCCACCCCATATACTTTCACTTCTCATTCTGACATCCATTCCCACACCTATCCATTCTCACACCTATCCATTCTCACACCTAAACATTGCAGGGTCAAGTCTGGAAGAAGATTGCCTTGTCTCTCCCAGGTAGAAGCGCCAGGCAATGCCGCGATCGCTGGTTCAACTACCTCGACACAAACCTGAAGATGACCCCTTGGTCCACGCAAGAGTTTCGTCTACTGCACCTCGCCCAGGTCAGAACGCAACATGATCGATGGAAACGCTTCAAGTCCTGCAGCACGCGCGAGTGAATGGCGCATCACCCTCGTGAGGCTGATTATTATTGATCGGCCAACCTGCAGAGTAATCAATATCTATGTCTCTGTGGAACCCCATCCGACACACTTACCCAACACAGCTGCTGCTATATGTAACCGTTTACCGGCCGCGACAGCAATATTGGCGTATTGTCTCGATTGAAACGTGAAGCTCTACACATAGGTGCATCTCAACATGCTGTACACATGTTCAACATTGAACAGCAGTGCCTGACCAACCTCGTTATGTTGCCGGATGGAATGTATTCTACCCCATTCATCTTCCAACCAAATTTTCCAACCAAACCCGAATTTGCAGGCAGCCCTTGGTAGAAATCAATGGGCGAAGATAAAGAATATACTCCCTCAGAGGTCGTCTGTGGGTATCACAACTGCGTCCAAGTCGACCGAGATGCAAGAGTGGCGGAAGACCTTCGATGAGACGTCGGCCGACCCGGAAACCCTTCGACTGTTCCATGAGCGGATGGAGACTTCCTCGCTGTCCAACAAGAATCGCTCGGTGAACTTGGTCAGGAATCAACCAAGTAAAGGGAAGCAGAATCAGCGAACCCCGGTCGGGATACGCGTTAAGGTTTGTACGGAGGGATCCGTGATCGATTTCTTGGCAGGTGTGCCCAGTCGGTCTACTCTTGCTAGCTGGAGCACAGGCATCACTTGTCCCAAATTTCGTGCCTTCTGCGGGCAGATGCATGCCGGCCCCTCGTAAATGTGGTGGGCTGAGCACGTTACTCCCAAGTAAACTTCTCCGGGCAGAAACGTGTTCGACGAAAGCAGTTCCCACAGATCGGGACAATTTGCTCGGCCAAGACCGTTGTTGGAATCAACGTTGTTCGATGAACCTCTCAACGTTGTATCATGTCGCCCAACGCGAGACAAGTTAACGAAAACGCACCCGACACGCATTGGTTGTTTTTGCCGCAGATACCGAGCAAGGAAACGTTCGTACCACCAAGCGACTCCGGTGGCGGAACATCCGCCAAGGACGACGGTGCGATGTTCAGTGGAAGCCTAGAGGGGCTCTCCAGCACCCGAGACTCGCTCTCCAGCCAGAAGAGGGTCGTCCTAGTGGTCTGGACGAGTGAGGACATATCGAGATCATATTCGACATACCACGACTATTTTCGACTCAGAGTTGATTTTCCTGGTACACGTACAGAAAGAGCGGTATATTCGTTGGCTACAGGTGGCTCCTCTGCAATGTTGCACGAACAAGAAGACACATGGCTGGGATATTATGCAATGTCAAATAGCTGAGCTATCCATGCGGGAATGATCGGAATGTACTATTGGCGAGGCTAACCTACTTCCCAACTTCCAACTTCCAACTTCCAACAAGACTCATAAAGTACGTTGAAATTTTGTGGGGACCTTCGCAAGGGGTGCATTCGCTCATCGAAGCTTACATACCAAAGCTGCAGCACAATAAAAACAATGTGTAATGGTCTTTCGTTCGTTTCGGGTGTCACCCAATGTGCCTGGGTGACCCCTTCTGGATTCAGGGGTAAACCCCCCACTCCTGAAAACTCAAGCGCCACCGGGCATCTACGAGTCCAGCATCCTTGTCGTCTTGCTGAATCTATCTAACAAAGGGCCCTAATACTGGCCGCGCTCTTGCCCTCCCGAACCGAACTGACACTCGCAGAGGAGGAAGACGCGAGATTGACCCATCTTGTAATAACGAACGGCGAGGGAAGTTGGGATCAGAAGGCTGCAGATCTTAGTGGTGCCCTGCTGGAATCGCGCCAACGACGAGAGGCCGAGGGCCAGGCATCAGGTCGGCCGGGTGTGTTCACGCCCAAGACCGGTCGCCAGTGCTCCGAGAGGTACGATGGCGTGCCCGAAGGTGCTAGTCCACTGATTTCCGGTATGTCCCGGTAGCGGGTGTTCGACTCTTATTGGTGCTGCAAGTCCTCAAATTCGTGAACTGGACGCAAGCCAATAGCACCTTTCGAGTGCTGTGGTGGGATTTTGAAAGCCTGACGTACACAACTCAGCCTGATACAATGTGTCCAGTGCCATATCACATAATCCATTCCCATCAGCAACGCGCCTTACAAGTCCCCGTTTCTGATTCATTCTCGTCCGGGAATCTATTCAAAGGTGGACGACGCACTTGGTGGCTCGGGTGCAGAAAAATCCCTGGACTAAGTCTGAAGACGAAACGTTACGGCAAGCCGTGAGAATTTCATCCGCAAACAAGGAGGTTTCTGCGGTAAGAGCAAAGGCCAAGTTGGTGTGAGTAAAGAACAATTTTAACATGGTGCAGTTTCGCACCCCATCGTTCGCCCATTGCTGTATGCTGTCGACCCACTCGCTTTCACGGCCAACTTCGAAGGTCAACATGCTCCCGTGAACCCAGTTCCCGTCGGACTCGGCCTGCTTTGTCCACGTAGCATTCGTGTGGAAAACCGTACCACGGTACCGAACAAGCCTTCCTTACTCCTTCGACTTTGATGCTGTGCTTCACGTGCGAAATGAACGCTGCAATAACACAAGCAAACACTTTCTGACGGCACCTTATCGTCCAGTACGAGGTCTGGAGAGTAGTGGCTAAGACCGTCGCCTTCCGGACTGGTTGGGAATGCCAACACCGCTGGCGTTCTATCCAGGACGTTGCCTGGACGAATAGAGAGTGGGAAAGTCTTTCCCAAGCACAGGTTAGAGTAAATGGACGCAGAAGCATCACTATGTACGAACTCTGGCTGGTTTTGGCTCCTCTTTCGGGTTATTGGATTATCCCTCCCGTATCATGAACAAGCCGATTGAAATCGTCCCGGAAGATGATGAAATGTCAAAAGAACTGGCCCTACGTTGGATGGGCGGGAGGGGCGATGTTGTTTGCGGCCGGAAACTATCCGTGCACGTGTGAATGGTTCTAAGTGGACGTTGTTCCTTACATGTCTGTCAAAAGGAAACTACGGCATTCCGATAGTGGACAAGACTTTGTATCATGCAGTGTGTCCAGAGTGTTACCAGCATACCGTCGAAAGGGCATACTGCTGTACAATCGGAATTTTCGCCGCACGCCCCAACATCGGAAGCCACTCCTGGCCACACACAAGCGTTTCCACTCGTTGTCGCTCGCGGCTTCTTGCGAGCCGATTATACCATGGACGTAGTCGCCATGCTTGCGATACCGATGTATTCTGTAGGAAGGAGGATTCGGAGCGTTGTCCGGCAGCTGTATTTTTGTATTGTGTTTTTTTGTGGTCTTGGTGATGTTTTCGTTGTTGGTGAGTATTTCTATTCTTGTGGATCGAAGCTTCTCTCTATCCCCTGGCAAGAAGTCGGTGCCTACTTTGCATTGTACGAATTCGCACTCTTCATGAGATTTGTGGCGTCTTAACATGGTACCAATTCACAGGTACCAACGACGTACATGTGGAAGTGGATCGTCATGTGCCCTGCGGTGTTCCGGTGACCACCATGTGATGCGATGGGTAGGTCTTGCTCGAAAATGGCGTCCTCTTGCTCGTCGTGCAACGCCGTGATGCTTCTTTTCCAACGCCGTGATTCGTTTTTTCAGGGAAAGAGAGCGGATAGGTCGTCGTCGCCCGACAGGTTCAAGAAAGAGAGGCGCAGCAGGTGACCAGCTACAGGTAGCAGGTGGTCCTCTAATACAGGGAAGCGTGATACTGGACGTCGACCGGACGGTATATACCAAATGTTCAGAATATTTTAAGGTCACAAGCTCCTGTGAGCCGCGGATGTGAGGTAAGCTGTTGGGATGACCGAAGTGCTGCCGAAGTCGTTCTGACGTGGTGTCAGGGTGTTCTTCCACGTGTACGGAGCCGTTGCATCTGACCATTTCACGAGTTGTTGTTGCTCGTTGCTCGAAACGCATTCCATAGTAGTAATGTACACGAACGAGCGACACCGCAACTGTTGCCTGATCGTCGCCGTTGAAGTGACCAAGGACGCAGGTCTTCTTTCGGCACGCAGTGCGCATTGGGAAAGGGCGCCTCTACCGCGACCTCCAAGTCCGAAGATCCCCTGGCAAGCGTCACTCTAAAAGACAAGGCAAGTTCAACGTCCAGAGTTCACGAGAATGCAATAATTAAAAAAAACATATTCCAGAACGCCCCAACGCAACGGGCACGCAAACTTCGGCGGTGTTTAGATTGATTTTTGTTGACCGCAATTTGGGGGATGAACAGGGAATGAACAGAAACATCGCTGCGAGGGGACGAGAAACAAAAACCGGATCGGCGAATCAACAAAAAATAAAAATCTGAAGCGAGATTTTGTTCGACCGAGGGGACGATTCTTCTCTTCCCCTCCCGGGGATCATTCGATATGTGCCCAATGAAAAAAAAACAATTTTCAACTTTCGATCGAACGAAATTCAGAATTTGCGCAGCCATTGGTGCGACGCGGGTGCTCTGCACGTGGTTGCTGCCCCTGTGGCGCCGGGGTACACCGCGTGTTTCTGACTATGAGATACCACCTTTCAGCCTACACTTATAGCCTTATCTGAGAATGCTTAGTGAAGCACGTGCAGTTGCTATCGACCCTAGAGCCGGCAGTGAGTCCTTCCTGGATTGGCGGTGCCGGGTGCACTCCCGATCTTGGAACAGTCTCGTGCGGTTGGCTTCCCACGCTCGGTGCATCCGACACGTCCCTAACGGCCTTAGGAACTTTGCTACATACTACGTTCGCTAAGGGGGCAGCAATTCGCAGGTAGCGTGTAAGGAGGCCCCTGTTGTTCGGGGATCGACCTGGTCAATCAAGAGCCCAAACAGGATGACTTTCACTTGTGGATCCCGTGTAGCCGTTCAGCGATGCTGCGGTCTAAATCCGGCCATGGGGGTCCTTGGGTTCGACGGGCGTCGCCAACCTCACATGACCTTTGAGCATAGTCTCCTTCGTACAACGGCGTCGCCTGGTAGCAAGTCGGTAGGATAGTAATCAATGTTGCCGAATAGTTGAAGGTGCAGGAAGCACGGTTTTGAATCATTTCTACTGTAGAAACCCTACTACTTCCGGTCGTCCATGCACACTGCCCTGCCCATCCAAGTATCATTCGGATAACCCAACACCACCTCTGTAGGTCTCTCAATACTGTCCCTAACGTGTCATCCCCTTAATATACTGTGTTCCATCATGCTGGCACGATGTCCGCGTTCATCTGCATTGGCTTCGCGACCTAAGTAGAACGATTCTTGGTATAGAACGGATGTATCGTAGGTATGTGCACCGCGCCGACAGCAGCAGGGAGTATAGACTGCGGTTCTGTATGTAGCTTAACGTAGTCCCCAACCTGTCGTGCCCTACAGAAGTCTAAATGTACCATTTCATCGTGCTGCCACGATGTCCGGGTTCATCTATACATATCTCTGGTTTCACGGCCTACGTTCTGCAGAACGGAGGTATCTCAGACATGTGCAAAACGTAGACGAACGCAAGGAGGAGAGACAAAGAGTTACCCTTACGGTATGATTGAATAAAAGGTGACGGCTAATATCCGACGAACAACCCCCGATACTTCGACTACAGAGGCCACCGAATAGCATTCTTCGGATCGAACCACTTACATTATGTAGTTTTTCAAGCACGTGCGGTTGCTATCATCCCGAGAGCCGGCAGTAAATGATCTCCTTCCCGGATATGCAGTGGACTCGGTGCAAATTCAAGCATGGGACCAATCTCGTGCGGTTGGCTTCCCACGCTCGGTGCACTCGGACACCTAAGAGTCGTCGATGGCCTTAGGAACTTTGCTATTTCGTCCGCTAAGGGGGCAGCAATTCGCAGGTAGCGTGTAAGGACCGCTTCCCGTCAGGAAGGCCCCTGTTGTTCGGGGATCGACCTGGTCAATCAAGAGCCCAAACAGGATGACTTTCACTTGTGGATCCGTGTACAGCCGTTCAGCGATGCTGCGGTATTTCCGGCCATCGGGGTCCTTGGGTTCGACGGGCGTCGCCAACCTCACATGACCTTTGAGCATCGTTTCCTTCGTACAACGGCGTCGCCTGGTAGCAAGTCGGTAGGATAGTAATCAATGTTGCCGAATAGTTGAAGGTGCAGGAAGCACGGTTTTGAATCATTTCTACGGTAGAAACCCTACTACTTCCGGTCGTCCATGCACACTGCCCTGCCCATCCAAGTATTATTCGGATAACCCAACACCACCTCTGTAGGTCTCTCAATACTGTCATCCCCTTAATATACTGTGTTCCATCATGCTGGCACGATGTCCGGGTTCATCTGCATTGGCTTCGCGCCCTAAGTAGAACGAACCTGGGTATAGAACGGATGTATCGTAGGTATGTGCACCGCGCCGACAGCAGCAGGGAGTGTAGACTGCGGTTGTGTATGTAGCTTAACATAGTCCCCAACCTGTCGTGCCCTACAGAAGTCTGGATATACCATTTCATCGTGCTGCCACGGTGTCCGGGTTCATCTATACATATCTCTGGTTTCACGGCCTACGTTCTGCAGAACGGAGGTATCGCAGACATGTGCAAAACGTAGACGAACGCAAGGAGGAGAGACAAAGAGTTACCCTTACGGTATGATTGAATAAAAGGTGACGGCTAATATCCGACGAACAACCCCCGATACTTCGACTACAGAGGCCACCGAATACCATTCTTCGGATCGAACCACTTACATTATGTAGTTTTTCAAGCACGTGCGGTTGCTATCATCCCGAGAGCCGGCAGTATATGATCTCCTTCCCGGATATGCAGTGGACTCGGTGCAAATTCAAGCATGGGACCAATCTCGCGCGGTTGGCTTCCCACGCTCGGTGCACTCGGACACCTAAGAGTCGTCGATGGCCTTAGGAACTTTGCTATTTCGTCCGCTAAGGGGGCAGCAATTCGCAGGTAGCGTGTAAGGACCGCTTCCCGTCAGGAAGGCCCCTGTTGTTCGGGGATCGACCTGGTCAATCAAGAGCCCAAACAGGAGGACTTTCACTTGTGGATCCGTGTACAGCCGTTCAGCGATGCTGCGGTATTTCCGGCCATCGGGGTCCTTGGGTTCGACGGGCGTCGCCAACCTCACATGACCTTTGAGCATCGTCTCCTTCGTACAACGGCGTCGCCTGGTAGCAAGTCGGTAGGATAGTAATCAATGTTGCCGAATAGTTGAAGGTGCAGGAAGCACGGTTTCGAACCATTTCTACTGTAGAAACCCTACTACTTCCGGTCGTCCATGCACACTGCCCTGCCCATCCAAGTATCATTCGGATAACCCAACACCACCTCTGTAGGTCTCTCAATACTGTCCCTAACGTGTCATCCCCTTAATATACTGTGTTCCATCATGCTGGCACGATGTCCGCGTTCATCTGCATTGGCTTCGCGCCCTAAGTAGAACGAACCTTGGTATAGAACGGATGTATCGTAGGTATGTGCACCGCGCCGACAGCAGCAGGGAGTATAGACTGCGGTTCTGTATGTAGCTTAACATAGTCCCCAACCTGTCGTGCCCTACAGAAGTCTAAATGTACCATTTCATCGTGCTGCCACGATGTCCGGGTTCATCTATACATATCTCTGGTTTCACGGCCTACGTTCTGCAGAACGGAGGTATCGCAGACATGTGCAAAACGTAGACGAAAGCAAGGAGGAGAGACAAAGAGTTACCCTTACGGTATGATTGAATAAAAGGTGACGGCTGATATCCGACGAACAACCCCCGATACTTCGACTACAGAGGCCACCGAATACCATTCTTCGGATCGAACCACTTACATTATGTAGTTTTTCAAGCACGTGCGGTTGCTATCATCCCGAGAGCCGGCAGTAAATGATCTCCTTCCCGGATATGCAGTGGACTCGGTGCAAATTCAAGCATGGGACCAATCTCGTGCGGTTGGCTTCCCACGCTCGGTGCACTCGGACACCTAAGAGTCGTCGATGGCCTTAGGAACTTTGCTATTTCGTCCGCTAAGGGGGCAGCAATTCGCAGGTAGCGTGTAAGGACCGCTTCCCGTCAGGAAGGCCCCTGTTGTTCGGGGATCGACCTGGTCAATCAAGAGCCCAAACAGGATGACTTTCACTTGTGGATCCGTGTACAGCCGTTCAGCGATGCTGCGGTATTTCCGGCCATCGGGGTCCTTGGGTTCGACGGGCGTCGCCAACCTCACATGACCTTTGAGCATAGTTTCCTTCGTACAACGGCGTCGCCTGGTAGCAAGTCGGTAGGATAGTAATCAATGTTGCCGAATAGTTGAAGGTGCAGGAAGCACGGTTTCGAATCATTTCTACGGTAGAAACCCTACTACTTCCGGTCGTCCATGCACACTGCCCTGCCCATCCAAGTATCATTCGGATAACCCAACACCACCTCTGTAGGTCTCTCAATACTGTCCCTAACGTGTCATCCCCTTAATATACTGTGTTCCATCATGCTGGCACGATGTCCGCGTTCATCTGCATTGGCTTCGCGACCTAAGTAGAACAAACCTGGGTATAGAACGGATGTATCGTAGGTATGTGCACCGCGCCGACAGCAGCAGGGAGTATAGACTGCGGTTCTGTATGTAGCTTAACATAGTCCCCAACCTGTCGTGCCCTACAGAAGTCTGGATGTACCATTTCATCGTGCTGCCACGATGTCCGGGTTCATCTATACATATCTCTG